CCTTTGAGGAAATAAAAGTTTTTAAAGCTCATATGTTTTAAAAGATTTTGAGAAAATATGTCGCAGGGTATAATCTTTACCCTCCTCTTGTTCACAGGTAGGGGCATTTCTTCTTGTTATGCTAATGCAGTACTGTTTTCACTTCTTCGTCAATTATTGTACGTGTATAGAAAATATCAATCGATTATCATATTTTTTATTTTATTACAGTCCATATGAAGGCAATATGGACCTATCTGTAGTAGATATAGGATTTGTCTCATAATTTACTAAAATGAGGCTATAATAATGATTGTTTATGCATAATTAATAATTCACAAGTTTAAATGTAACTAATGGAAACCAGCATCTAAATGTTAGATTTGAGTACAAAATAATACACATCCATTTTGATATATAGCCCTACCTGAGGTATTTACACATGTTGTGCAATAATTCCACTTTGTCTTATTTGAATTTGCTTAAGTGCATTTGGTGTTTGTTGTTAGGGGAGCAAGTAATGTGGATTGTGTGGGAGGTGGTCATGTCGTATTCACACGGAATGGTTTCGGTCAGACATACAGTAGGCCTACTGTTATGAGTCACATCCTCTGATAAACTCTTTAAAGCTAACTCTAATTTACGACCTGACCTGTGTGTAAAGTTTGTATACCATTTTTTAGTAATCCCAAACAATGCTCAAAATGGCCTGTTGGGAGTGTTTTTGGAGTGAATGGCTTGTAGAGGCCCTCTATCGGTCATTGTATCTGTTTTCAAGGTATTATTAAAGAGTTTTGTTTGAAAAGACGGTTTAATTGCAGCTTCTGTGAAAGACTATTGTTCTTTGGCCTGTATGTTAGGAGTTTTCCTTTTATTTCAGACCTATCAGGTCTAACAACAGGAATATGCATATGCATCTAACAGTACTTCCTAATATATAATAGCCGTAACCCTCATAGAGTCATGTATGATAATATGATCATATATTTTCTTCCTGAAAAGTATAAAAATACAGTTCAAATGAATATATAAACATGTTCCTTCCAAAATGATGATACCTGTACTTTGCAGATTTGAGTTAAAAATATTACTCATATTCAGTTAAAATATTTCTGAAGATGTTACATTGAACATTGCTTTAAACATTTATTGCAATTTTTGTCTCTTAGGGCAAATAAATACAGCATATTTCCTGACTTTGACAGCTAGAATGATGATTATACCACAGCTATTATCTTGACTCACCGGTGAAAAGCTAGTGATTTAAGTGATTGAAAGAACTTTTTCAAGTGGACCACTTGCTTCCTGAGCATTCAAAATGCTTTCAATAGCTCTAAGCCAAAGAGAAGTCAGTTTATTATTTGAACAGACTAAAAAAAATGTTCACTGACACAATCAGTTTTCATGTGGTTCACCTGCTTTATTATAATCTTTTCCCTTGTGTTTAAGAAATATTTTTTACAGGAAATCTTAAGAACCTTTTAATGTCTTTTGATATGGTTTGAGATATTGTTATTGCCTCAAAGGACTTTCAGTCTAGTCTAGATGGTATTTGATCTCCACTGTATTCTTAATTTATGTCTAAGTTCATGGGAGTGTCTTAAATCTCCCCGTGTTCATTTATTTATGGATGCCTGTTATATTCAAATGTGTTTTCTCTCCCACAGGCTGCACCACAGCCATCAATGTGATCTGCCCTTACCCACGATACGTGGTCATATTATTCCAGCCGGTCACGCTGCGCTGTGATTTCACTACAACAGCTACAAACCCACCACTGATCACCTGGAAATACAAGTCCTACTGCAGAGACCCGATCCAAGCTGCACTGAACCCCAGCAGTGCTGACAATGCTATCGCTCAGTCCAACCCAAACTACAACCCCAACATTGAGTGTGCAGACAGCGCCAGGACCGTTCGCATAGTGGCTTCGAAACAAACGGCGGTCTCACTTGGGACTGAGTACCAGGGCCGTCAGATCAGCATAACAAACAGTAAGTTGACTTTACATTGTGAAAGTATTTATTTATTTATTTGAATTTTATTTTCATCAACACTACACCTGTAAAGGCTGTGCTAGATTTAGCCTGGCTGCATTTTATCTGCCATAAAGATTTAAAATATGTACATTTATGATATGGTTTGATATAGGGCTGCACGATAAATCGCATGCGATATTTAACGCGCA